TACAACAAGAAGTCGTCATGCACGTTTGCACAGAAGTAGAATAAATCAGCTATTATTTAGAAATTGAAATTTATCAACCTCAAGAGAATTATTTCCACAATCCATTGAGTAATTAAGAAAAAGAATAACTAGTTGCACATTGATGACACCAATGAGAAAAGCAAAAATTTCAAAAGAAAAAGATGATTTTAATGTTTTGTAAGGTAACATTGATAATCGAGCTTTCGATGATGAATACAAAGAAGCTGATTGTTGTCATAATGTAAGATATAGTGAAAAACGAATGCATTTTCAAAGTTTCGTCGATAAATATTTGCTTTCTTTTAGTTATTATATATGAAAAGCCCTATTGAAAATAAAAGTTTGTTACGCAAACACACTTTAGCGCATATAAAAATAGGGCAAGCAGTTTCCGAGAACGGATATTTTTTTATCGTTCCTGTAGGACTCTAGTAGCCATTATAGAAAATTAAAATAATCATTTTTTGCATAGATTAAATGTTTAGGAAGATTGATATTTCTATTCAAATATAATTCTGACAAGCATGATGTTGGTAGAGCGCTGCTAGGAATGTTTTTCATTTTCCTAAAGCGTTATAGTATTAGTCCAACGCCGCCATCCGTTCTGAATCAGCTCCTTCTGTTGTTGGCTACGTTCACCGCAAACAGCGGTCTTCTTTATCACCAGCTACATGCAGATATCTTATGTTGTGAAACTAATGAAGATTAGCTTTCGTAAGAGAAAAAAAGAAATAGAATGGCTGAAATTTTTTATTGGTAGTACGTACGTTGTTTATAGAACATCTCAATGAAAATTTAACATATATAGAGTTCAAGCCAATATGAACTAGGCTTATAATAGTCCAGTATATTCATTTTTGTCCGAGAAAATTTTCATATTGTTTTCAAATGAAACTAAGTTTTTTTTTCGATAATGCTTTAAGCAAACTCGAATTCATACATATGAATAGAAGACAGCAGAAATTAAGATTCGACGATCAAATCGTTTTCATAGATCAGCTTAATATTGACCAACTTGCGTGTTTCCCAGTAGAGAAGGATAACATGCACAGGCCAAATTCTTATATCTATATTTGGCTAAAGAGTTTCTTTTCTTAATTAATGTATTCGATCATTGAGACCATGGCCTCATAGAATTGATATTCTTCAAAAATTATCTTTCACCAGCTTCTCCCAATGATCTAATACTGTATTTCACAATAACCTCTTCAACCAAATACGGATATAGAGAATTAACATGCGTTTCATGCCATACCTACTGTAAAGTAAATAAGTTGCTCTGTAGATAGTTGCTATTTGGAAACGATTCGATTTCCACAATGTGACTAGAATTTTCCTTAATTCGTGAGTATAGATTCAACTTTTTTCTAAACAGTTTTGAAAGAACTGTGTTTGAATTTGAAGTTTGCATGAAAATTTTTGAAGGTAAAAGTAACTTTTTACTATTATTAAACTGATCCACATTCAATACAAATATCATGTTAAATTTTCATTGGAACACACTATAGAGAATAAATGCATCACTGGCAATTATTGCCTCCCAAAAGAAGCTTTTTTCTATGTAGATACATTTGGAATTAAATCATACGAAAAATTACGTTCATTACAACTTATATGTGTAATTTTCTGTTTTTATTTTCGTTTCCTTCTTTTATATTCTTTTTCTATGTCTGAGTGTATCATAAGGATATTTTCCACTAACTGGAAAAAAATCACTTGTGAAAATAAAACCATCTATATGATACTTATGTGAATATAATCGTTCTACCACTTCTATGGACCAACTGTTTCGAGGAAGATAGCAAAATATAGAGTATATTGGGCAAGGTTGTAAATAATTAGCAGTAAAATTCAAAATATTAAATAGCTTCTATTTAGAAATATGAAGCTTGAGTGATAATCGATCCAATGGAGACATTCTATGATTCTAAAATAAAGCTTCACAAAGATGTCCGAATATGTAGAAAGCTTTTGATCTTATTAGAATGTTATAAGAAGATTTTCCTCTTTCTTAGTACCCTTGAAAATCAGATATAAAGCTTTCATTTCTGTTATTTTTGAATTTCATCTGAAAAAGCGTATTTTAAATCAAATTATATTTTTAAACCGTAGTAATCTCTGCAAATTTATTTCATGATTCCAGTGCTTTCCTAATTGCATTATCTGTCGTCCTAAAAGGTGTCATTTATTCCTTTATTTTTCTTTTATTTTTTAAAAATAAATGATTCATTTACATTTATTTTTTAAAAATAACGTATTCTTTTATTTAATTAACTTTATTTTTAAAAAATAAATGATCATTTATCTTTATTTTTTAAAAATAAAGGATCCAGTTACCTTTATTTTTTAAGAGTAAAGGATTCATTTATCTTTATCCTTTATTATAAAGGATAGTAAAGATGAAGGGTCACTCCTACTCTGAACAAAGAAAACCAACACAAAAATTTTAATTATTGTAAAAATAAAACAATTACATCCAATAAACATGTTTCCAACAAATTAGATATCTCTTCTCATCGGGAATTTCTTACCAACATAAAATTCATTTATATTTCTACCTCATATGTTTGTTTCGTTTCACTACCAATGCGTGCAAGTGCCATGGAAATTCAACCAAATGCAACATGGTCGACGAATGGTATCACTGTTGCTGGAGGAAATGGAGAAGACAGTAAAAGCAATCAACTCTATAACCCATGGGGTGTGTACGTCGACGACGATCAAACGATTTATGTCGCTGATCTGGATAATAATCGTATTATGGAATGGAAATTTGGTGCAACAAATGGCACAGTAGTTGCTGGTGGAAATGGAGAAGGGAATGGAACTAATCAATTAAATAACCCAGCAGATGTGATTATCGATAAAGAGACCGATAGTCTCATCATCTCCGATTACAGGAATAAAAGAGTAGTTCGATGGCCTCGTCGCAATGGTACTCATGGAGAAACAATTATTACAAATATCGCTTGCGTTGGTTTAACAATTGACGATAATGGTTACCTCTATGCCGTTGACTTTGATAAACATGAATTGAGACAATATAAAATTGGTGATACCCAAGGAACAGTGGTTGCAGGTGGCAATGGACAAGGTAATCGTCTCGATCAACTCTCTAACCCCACCTACGTATTTGTCGACCGAGAACATTCAATTTATGTGTCTGATTATTACAATCATCGTGTCATGAAATGGGAAGAAGGTGCAACATAAGGCATTGTTGTAGCCGCTGGTAAAGGATATGGAAATAGTCTTACACAATTGTATTATCCTCAAGCAGTCGTCGTTCATCAATTGGGTACTGTCTATGTGACTGATGCCGGGAATCATCGAATCATGCGTTGGCCAAATAGAGCCATACAAGGAAGTGTCATTATTGGTGGAAGTGGTGAAGGAGCTCAGTCCAATCAACTAAGTTTTCCCGTAGGTTTATCATTCGATCGACATGGTAATCTCTATGTCGTCGAATGGAAAAATAATCGCGTACAAAAATTTAATAGCACATAAACTATATCCGTACGATTAATATTTTTATTTGTTCTCTTTTTTTTCTCTTTCAAATGAAATATGACTAAATGAAGAAATGCATTGAAATTTTATTCTATTCACGCAAGCGTGCGACCAGGAACGACCCTGGTGGAGTCATGGCGAGCGTAATGCTCATGCACGCGCTGAAAGACTCATATCATTCACATGCATCCATTCGATGACATGCGTCCGTGAGTCTGAGGGCCCGATCGTGTTGCCATGGACATCAGTACCGTTCCTGGCTGGGCTTTTAGGGACTACCCAGAAGTACTTCTTATACTGCGAAACCTTAATCTCAACGTACCTCACTCACCCTTACTAGTCTCGTCTCAACAAAGAAAAAAAACTCATTCATCGATGTTGAATAATGATGCGATGTGATGACGTCGATAACTATAAAAAAAAAGAAAAAAAAAATAGAACGATGAAAATAGAGAGATAACTTACCCGTATTATCTTATTCTTCGATGTTCATCAGCTAAAATTTCAAGAATATACATAAAAAAGATCATATTATAACTTACTATCCTCCATATGATCGTGAAAAGAAAAAAAACTTAAAACTTATACCTACATTATTTTATTGTCTTGATTTGAATTGAATTGTATAATTTTGTGGGTGTGGTTGTGGGTGTGAATATAATATGAGAAGATATCCACACACCCACCCACACCCACACCCACACCCACACGCACACCCACACGCACACCCACACCCATACTCACACTCACACCCACACTCACACTCACACTCACACCCACACCCACACGGCATACCCACGCTCACCGTTGTGGTGAACCGTCGCGTCGTGGTAGCTTCTCATCGATTCTGAGTTAATCATTTCTGTGCACTGGCAGAGGCAAATTGCCGTGCATTTTCGTGCTGAAAGTCAGTCACTTTCGAATTCTGTTGATTTTTTGTTCAAGTTCTGAACAGTGATAGTCGTTTTAGAATATTGTTTATATCATTGAAAAGAAAAAAATCTTTTCATTCATTGTCCAGCGAAGATAATATAATCGACAGTTTGATAGGGTGGCATGATTTTGAACGGTTGTCCTTCTCCTACAGGTCCACTCGTGCCACTGATATTGTGTTCATGCTTGCCATTTGCTTGAATAGCGATGTTTGTTTTACCTATTGGAATGGTATGATCATGCGACCCACCATCATTTGCGTATCCATTGTTATGTTGACCCCATCCCCCTCTGGATATTGGCCCGGCACCCGTTCTACCACCATGATCGTGGCCCGGGTCGTCGTATTTGTGCGAGTGATTTCCCGCATTGCTTGTAGCCAATGTTCCTTGATCGTGAACATGTGTTGGGAGCTCAGCCACGCTGAGAGTGTGCAGAAAAGCACCACCCTTATTGATACCCACTGTTTCGTTCTGGTGCCAATTGATTCCCAATGGGAAACGGGCTTGTAGGTCAGGCAAATTATATGTTTTGACGTGATCACCTACCCCATACAAAGTACCAATGACTGAGAACAGAAGAGAGTACTTAGAACGAGAAACTGCAGACCCATCGCAGCGCAGCCATGTTGCTGGTAGTTCTATCCCTGTCCACATTATGATCGTACCAATCGGCAAACCACTTAACGAGTCCACAGGAATAGGATTTAACTTGACGCAGTCTATCCAAAAGCTTAACATGAAAATTGCTGTAATGACGCGACAAAGCATTGTAATATTCCAATTTCAAGTTTTGAAAAAAAATTTTACAAACTTCGTTTCATACAAAATATATATTGGATGCCAGTGCAAAGTTTTTTTATTACTAAGAAGATTATCGCAATCTTGATCTTTTTTATTTGTCTTTATCAAAATAAACTTGTACTGCATGACATGCCATCATATTATGAAATCCGGGCGGCTATGAATGCTCTTACGTTATCAAACTGATAAGCATTTGTTGAAGACAAAGCTGTATTCTCCGAGAAGGATTGTTTTTAAATGCTCCATATACAATTAATCTACCATTAAATGGGATAGAAAAGCGGACTTAACATATAATCTAGAGATTTGCAGTTTATTTTCCATCCATTTCTCTCAATCTCACTGGAATCCATATAAGCCGCTCATATGACCGGCCTTCACAGGGAAACAGCAAACTCCGAGAATTCGAGAATTCGAGATTCCAGGATATGGGTATGGGTGTGGGTGTAGGTGTGGGTGTGGGTGTGGGTGTGGGTGTGGGTGTGGGTGTAGGTGTGGGTGTGGGTGTGGGTGTAGGTGTGGATGTGGGTGGGTATGGGTGTGGGTGGATTGTGGGTGTGGGCGTTGTGCTTTCCTCTGTCATACCCACACCCACACCGACACCCACCCACACACAGTGGGCAATCAGGCGAACATTACCGAAAGCTGACTTTGCCAAAGTTTAAATATGGGAATAAATACATCTTTGGTTGGTCTATCCTACCCTGAAATAAGATCTCCAGAAATCAAGTCGAATGCTTGAAAAGTCCATCACAAAAAATTTCTTTATAAATCGGTAATTATACGGAAATCATTTTTATTACCTAGATATAGAAATATTTTAAAATGAAAAACTGTCTGAAACTAATAATTGGTCCATAAGCTTTATTGTGTGAAAAAATTGTTTCGATTGAACTAGAAATGGAATAGAAAAAAAACGATTGTAGAGCTGAAAGTGGGTCAAAAAATCTGCCATACCGTATTTTGTAAACGCGCAAAACAATTTAGCTCCGATTCATCTCAAACTTTTACCAAGTATTCTTCTATATGTGACTTATCGTTGGCCATGGCGTTGAGTCATACGAGTGAACAGAAAAAGTGCTAGCTGTTTCCCAAAGAACCAGGATTCTGCCCCGGAATCGTTAGCTTTGTGAATACAGAGACATTTTGGCGCAAAACTAAAGTGATATTCGGAATCAGCTGCCGAGCTGCATCGAATCATATATAATGGTAGGGGCTTTTCGAAAAAAGTTCGACTCGTGGACTCGACAAGGTTCTGAAAAACAGCCTTTCTGTGTTTTGTAAACGCGCAAAACAATTTACGCCTGATTGTTCTCAAACTTTCGCTGATTATTCTCCAATGTCTGGTCTATCGTTGACCTTAGCGTCACCTCGAACTGATGAGCACAGCCGGTGCTATGAGTCATTCAAAAATCAGGATTTTTGCCCCCAAATCCCTATTTTTGTAAACAGGGTATCATTTTGGTGCAAAATCAAGGTGATATTCAGAATTCGCTCATCGAGCTGCATCTAACCATATATAATAAAAAGGGTTTTATTGAAAATTTCTTTTTGACCTTTATGAAGGAAAAGCTTTAAAAAATGAGTCATATTGTATTTTTCCAACGCTACAAAGAGTTTTCACCTGATTAAGCTAAACTCTTTACCAATTGCATACCTCCATGTTAATTTATCGTTGGCTATGTGCGTCGCATTGTATCAGTGTTCATATATTAGGCCAGGGATTCCCAAAAAACCCTGGTTTTTGGTCCTAAATTCGTTTTTTGTCATTAAAACAATATGTTAGCGAGAAACGAAGGCAATATTGGCAATCAGCACGTAAAACTACGTCGAATGGTGTGCGGCACAATATATTTTCTAATTAAAGAATTTTTTCGAAAAATTTAGGAAGGGTCCCCCACGATGATTTTTCGCAAAAATTTTTTTTCCAAAAAAATAGTTTATTTTGTTCAACGTGATTTTTGGAAGTGATATATAACTCGTTCTGACTAGTAAAAGTCCGTCTCCAAGCAAAAAAAATTGCATGTCCGCCTGCTATGCGAAAGTTGCCCACTGTGCCACATCCACACCCACCCACACCCACATCCACCCACAGCCACAGCCACACCCACACCCTCAAGTCTGTTTTGAAAATAGTCTCATGAAAATGTAATGCAAAATGAAGAATACGAAGAGATAGAGGAAAAATATGAAACCATTTTATTCACACAAAAAAAATGTTTAAAATAATTCTCTCACTTCAAAGTTATGTTGCAAAGCAAAAACAAGAAAAAAAACACTTCGATGTATTTGCTATCAAGAAAAATGTTTTTTCTTCTGCCGGACGGCACCAATTCACAATCGTCTGGTAAGACAAATACAGCATGCGGTGGATGACTTTTTTGACACTTCAATCAGCGTACACACTTGAGAAATCACCTTGTCAATATTGTTGTCATAGGGAATCAGATTATTTTTGTCTATGCAACTGCTCATCCACGATCGATCGAAACTAAAATCAGATTCAGCTTGGACTCCAATCAAGATTCTCTCTTGACTTGAAAATTGATTTGTTGAGATTGCGTAAGATATTTCATGAAATTTATCAATATTTTCACTATAGGCAGTCGATACCATAGCAATAATTACTGATGCTGATTTGATTACTTTAGCTACGTACTTCCACGCATCATCAAAAGATTCTACATGTTCATAGTCGACCCAAATCGGTATTGTAAGTTTACCGCGCAACTTCTTCACAAACGTTTCACAAAACTCCTTTTGGGTCGAATCGTAGCTGACATAGATCGCTGACGACTTGTCTGTTTTCATCTGGTCTGGTGAGATTTCTTGCTGAATTTTGGACCATAGTTGCTTGGCATCTTCTTGCTTTGGACGTTTGGCAAGGCATTGAATGATAACGCACAGCTGATGGATCTCGATCAATTCTTTCAGATACTTCGAATGATTGAAAATAGAAATCTGTAAAAGAATTTTAAGTAAATATCTTGCAGCGCGCTTGTCAAGATCGTCTGCTTCCATATCCAGTAATGCTCCGTATATAGATAAAAGAAGCTGTGCAAAGAATTTTATCGGTTTTGTTTCATCATCCGGTTCACCAACTAAAATATTTTCCATTACGTGCGTGTTCGAAAAAGCGCGATGCAGTAATTCCAAATATTCCGACAAATGACATTCATCATATGTGAAGTCGTCGCAGTCAGCAGCTGTCTTACACCGTTTGTACAATTCTTTGCTAATCCAAAGGGTGAATTCTGTGTT